ATCTCAAACCCCTCAAAGTCACATTCAACAACGCTCTCCGGCCAAAGCTTCTTCCAAGCAGAAGTGAGGGTTCTCTTGGTAACCCCTTCCCATGCCTTTTCAATCATCTTGAGGCAGGCAAGGATGTGGAAGTGATATTTCCAACTCTCTGAGAGTGAGATTGGTCCCTTCAGTCACCTCAAAACAACACTCAAAGAGTGCTTTAGTGTACAGCTTCTTAAAGTTAGAAATAACCTGCTGGTCCATAGGCTGGAGTAACAGAGTTGTGTTGGGAGGCAGAAACTGGATCTTGATAATTTAAATTCTTCAAGGAGGTCATCTTGTAGGTCTGGAGGATGGGCAGGAGCATTGTCCATAACAAGCAAGACATGGAGTGGCAGATTCATCTCAAGCAAATATTTTTTCACAGAAGGACCAAACACTTCATTGATCCGATCAGTAAAAAGGTCACGTGTCACCCAAGCCTTGTTGTTGGACCTCCACATCATATTTAGCCTGCTCTTCTGGACTCTACACTTCTTGAAGGCTCGTGAAGTTTCTGAATGGTAAAGAAGCGGCGGTTTAATTTTCAAAACGCTTCTTGCATTGGCACAAAATAGCAGAGTGAGACGGTCTTTCATTGGCTTATGGCCTGGCAATGCATTATCTTCTGCTGTTACATAGGTTCGCTTTGGTATCTTTTTCCAGAAGAGACCTGTCTCGTCACAATTAAAAACCTGTTGCGGCAGGTAACCCTCAGAATCTACGAGCTTCTTGAAGTCGCCAATGAAGTTCTCTGCTGCCTTTGTGTCGGAGCTTGCTGCTTCACCGTGGATGCCGGATCTTCTCTTAAACTTGTCGAACCACCCACGGCTTCCCTTAAATGTTTCTTCTTCAGCCGTTGATGATTCTGACGTCTTCTTAATGAGGTGAGCAAAAATCACTTTTGCCTTCTCACAAATGATGTTCTCGTTAATAGTGTCGCCTTGCAATTGTTTTTCGTTTACCTATATGAGAAGCAACCTTTCAACATCGTCGAGAATACGTAACCGTTGTGTAGATATTCTTGCCACTCCCTTTGATGCATCTATCTCCTTAATCTTGTCCTTGTTCTTGAGGATAGTGCAAATCGTTGATGTAGACCGACTGTATGTGCATGCTAGATCAGCCACACTCACACCTCATTCTCGCTTTCAAACGATTTTACGTTTCATTTCTACGTTTATATTTATTCTCTTATGGCTGTCTTTTTTGCGGCTTTTTCTTAGGGGACATTTTTGCAAGGGTTATTAAACTTTGCATATAAAAAAATCACAAATAATATGTCTGAACACAAGTTTGGAAAAATGTGTGATCACAAGTGACACTAAGATGCTAGCGGAACGACTGGTAAACACGAACTGATGTAGCAAGTGCACAATCCGGGACTTCCCCTCTCATCACTCATTATGCGAAACGTCGCTCGTTAAGCGAGGCATTTCTTTACAATTTTACTTGTTATGAGAGGTGTTCGTTAAGTGGGGTTCCACTGTACTTTAATCTCCATTACAAAGATCAACTGCTTACTGTTATTTAGGGAAATATATACTGTTTAAGAACCACAGGAAACCTACACATATACCCTGTGGGCAAAACCAGAACAAGTGGAACATACAGTAACCACAGTGCTTTACAGGATTACTTAAGAGTGCATTTTAGCACCGTTACATGCATATACACAGACTTTGGAGGGGGGGATATAGTATAGCAAAACCATTTTTGTGAAACAGAATTTAACAAGTGGTACTAAATATGAGAAACTGGCAGAAGGTAAAAAAACACTTTCCTTTAACTTAAGTCTGTTGGAAAACATATTCTCATGAAAAAAGAAATTAGAAAAGTATCACCATCTCTTGTTGTGGGGGTTTCGACACTTTTTTTTTCCACAAAAAAAAATGCAGTACTATACATGTCTACTAAAAAGTCAGAGGAACATGCTGAAGAAGACCTCTAAAAATAATAGAAACATTCTGATTCCAGGCAAACCAGGCCTAATGCTTGGAAGGTGGTGGAGAAAAAGGAGGGGAGGGAGCAGGATAGGAAAAGGAGGAGGAATACTATAATTATGATCTATTTTCATTGTCATATTTCACTGCTAAGTATGATGCATGAGTGCAAATGCTATTGTAACATCACAATCAGACTTTTGTCATACATATTTATATTGTGGGAATCACATCCACAGAAACTGTATATACAGTGACAGAGAGAGAAAGCATGACATGACTCGTAAAAACATAAAGCTGTTATTGTACATAATTACCAAATTTCTGTCACATAGCCACACAGGATTTTCTGTGATGACATACTTAACAATTCAAAATAAATGGGGGGCGGGAAATACTGAAGCAGAACTAACAATTTCTAATTTCAAGAATAGTGTCAAGCATGAATGTGTAAGCCCTTTAATTTTTTATTCCATTTATTTTAACACTCCCTTGTTCTTCTCCTATGTTTAGTATCTCACATATGTAGTAAAAAACAAAAAATAAATCTTGAGATTTTGACAAATTTACTATAGTCCACCAGTATATGAAAAAGTGTCTTGTGGAATGCTGTCTGTATGCCCATATGTACATAGGGATGGATGTGTGGATGTGCACCTTGGATTTTATTCATGTTCGGTACATAAGCTCATCCATCACGTACTACTGCTGCTGAAGATATCTCCTCATGCTATATTACATAAGCGTTATGAAGATTAAAATATTATAACCATATCACTTTAAAACATACGCTAATCATCATACCCCACAACTACTACAAACACAAACTCCATTTTCATACACAAGCTGCTCTTTGCATGGCCTTCAGCTTCATTTCACAAGCTCAGAATACTCCATTACTTTCAATCAATGAGTAACAATGAACATTCTGGTTCCTCCTCTGTCAAATTTTGTGACAACAGACTTAAAATTGGCGGATAACGATACAACATACTTTCATGGTGACTATACACATTTGCATTCAGATGCTATAAAAGGGGTCCTACCACCACTTGTTATTGTTGCTAATACACAATAAAATTTACCTCTCTGTTGTCAGTCAACAAAAGCGTAATACACACAAAAAAAAAAAAGGGATGCAGGTACACATGAACTGAACGGCTCTAGTCATTTCCTGTATTCATAACACAGTAGCACAGTGACTGTCATCTCTTCATCTGACAACTGTCAGGTGGAAATCATATATTATTAACTTCATGGTTGAAGTTCATTTTACGGGGATTTACTAATGTGTCGCATTATGTACGCTGCATGGAGTTTGATGAAAATTATCTCCACATCATCAATGGAAATACCACTCATAAATTTAGATCAATTTTAAATTTCCCCGTATGGTCACACCAATCTGGACAATTCGTATATGTAAACATAATATTTTACTGTATTTTATTAGGAATTACAAGCTTACAAATTCACATCTTAGTGTCCATGTATGTATCCTTTCACATGCGGTTGTGTCCTTTCATAGCTTTTGAACCAGTTTGTGGAGTTCCATTAAAACAATTCCCCACAATAAGCAGTCTAAGACAGAAATTCTGAACAAATTCATAAGCTGTCCAAGAAAATCTAATAATACCTCATCTTCATCAGTGTAACCATCCCACTGCTATGCAACTTATTTGAATGTAATCAACTTTATTAATTTGACAGC